GCAGTATTAATGACAAATATAGTAGTAGTAGTAGTAGTAGCAGTATAGTAGTAGTGATGGAAAATATAGTAGTAGTTGTAGTAGTAGAGGTTCTCCTATAGTACGAAAAGGTTTCCAGCTACTCCTCTAAAATTATTCTCCACGCTTCTCTAACAGATTCCTTTTATTTTCTCATTATCAACGTATCCTCCGCTTCTCTGCCACTCACCCCCATCGGCCGCATCGTCCACCTCCAGATCGTCCAAGTAGACGCGCTGTGTGAGCGCGCGCATCTTCAGCTGCCAGACGCCCTCCATCAGCCAAGTGGGCATTATGGATGCCACGGGCTGGCCTGTGCCGCCATCCTTTGCCGCTTCGCCGCGTCTTCGCCGCGGGCCAATTCGCTGCAAATGGCTACCGTATTTATAGCCCTGACTGGACTCGTGCTCCGTCTGCTGCTGCTGCAGCTGCTGCTGCTGCTGTTGCTCTTGCTGCGCCTCCTCCTGCTGCTGCTGCTGCTCGTGCTTGGCAAAGAGTTGGACATTGTTGTCGTGGCCCGCTTGGAGAAGCGCGTTGCACACCTCGGCGCATTGCTCGTAGCTGCGCCGGCGATAGAGCGAGACGGCACGAAAATATTGCAGCTCCAATGTGGCCAGCGTCGCAGCCGGCGTCGCGGCTAGCGTCGCAGCTGGCGTCATTTGGCGGGGACACCCAACCGAAAAGGCCTTTATTTCGCTCTGCTCTTAATTTCAAGTGTTTGAATTCCTTTGGGCAGCTGCCTTCGCTTGTCTTCCTCCTCTTCTTCTTCAACTTGTGGTCGGTTGGAATTTTAAAACCGGATGCGTGTCATTCCTTGACCGCCACGCCCCGCTGTCGCCTCCTCCTGCTGCTGTTGCTTCTCTTCTTGTTGTCTGCTAATGATTTCTTCTGCTGCTGCTGCTGGTGTTTTTTTTTTTTTTTTTTTTTTTTTTGTTATTCCGTCTGCAGCTCTTCTAATTTTTCTATGCCCATAATTTGTACCTACCTTGATTTATTTTTATTTCGATCTCTTTTGCTTTTAGTTCTTTGATGAGTTTTAATTTGAGAAATCCTTTCGGTTTGTTGTGGCCTGTGTCTAGGGCTCAATTTTGGTTAGGCTCTGCCTTCCGGTCGCTGGGCCTTGGGTCTTGGGTACTGGGAATTGCGGTTGCCATGACAGCTATTTAATAAGCCACAACAAATGTGGCTCTGACTCAGCGCGGGGCTGGACTGAAATACCCAAAGCTTAATTAAATAAACATTAGAATTATTTTGTGGATTTTTTTTGTATTTTTAAAAAAGCTATTTTATATCGAGTTGACTTTTCATAAATATCATTACTTTTTTTTTAGCTACTTAATCTATGGCAATAATTTAATAGTAGAAAGTCTGTGAACACCAACGGAGGAAAATAATCAGAGTGTAAAGAGACTTATCTAAAAAAAAAGAAACATATAAATATAAATATAGATGTATGTATGTATATAAAAATGTAAACATATATAGGTGAATTTCCTGAAGAACATTCCTTCAGTCAATATAAATTGATGCAGTACTTCAAATGAAATATATTTAACTTATTTAAAATACATTGTATTATCTAAAATATACAATAAACTTACTCTGTATTTTGTTCTAGTTTTAGTATTAGTTCTTAATTATGGTTCCCTTACTACGTTTTCCATACTCTCCAAGCAACTCATGCGCTGACAATAAGCCTAAGTATACAGCTCTAAAAATAATATAATTGTAATATAATATACAATACATAAAGAATTTACAAAAAATATACGATTATATCAATTATATTGGCTAGCATGGAGATCATATTCTTTATATGGTTAATTTATCAAATGTCGTATCGCAATATATAAAGAATATTGTATAGAGTTCAGTAGTACGTAGTACTGGACCCTGTCCAGGTCTTTGAGTTTTATTTGCCTCCTGATCGCATCACTTTTGCAACTATGTGGCACCTGTCACACCCGCTTTTGCCCCTCCATAAGTTGCGCCCTTTTCCCGCAATTGGCTAAGTAAGCGAAAAAAAAAAACTTCGCGCAAATGTGATGCAAAATGTGGCATAGAATCCAAGTTGACCAGGGGCTGACAGGGCAGGTGTTCAAGGTGAACAAATCTGCGGATGAGCAGCTGCTGCAGCCGCTGAAGAGAAGGCGCAGGAGGCGTAGGAGACCATGAGGCTACTCAGACAGACGCCGTCTCGAGCGCTGCTGTTTGACTCGAGCAAATGATAAGCGCCAAATATTTGTTGATAAATGTTTGGAAATTAAATGAGCGGCAACAACAAGCGACGACAACAACTAATAAACGACAAACAACAACGACAACAACTACTACTAAAGCAACAAGCATTTGCTTTGACGTCCACGTTGAACTCATCGCGCTGGCATGCAAAAGCCAAATATTTATCAGCCTAGCTGGGCGTTTGCGTGCACATAGACTCACACACGCACACACACTCTCACACACGCTAACATTTCTGAATGACCAAATTCTATATGTATCTGTATCTTCATAATTTAAAGTTTAGCTTTGGCTCCCACGGCCCAAACGGCAACTCGCTAATTAAAATTTGAATAACTTTCAATAGATATTTTCCGATTTCCGAATGATACGAGATAGCATAATAGGTCTATGAATACCAAATGTGAATGCTGATGTCTGTCGATTTGCCAAAACAAAAACTGAGACCAAAACGAAAAAAAAAAAAGAACAAAAAGTTATAGCTCATTATCTGCCGACAAGCGACATATGTAGCACGTATCTTGTATCTCATATCTGGGCGCTTGTATCTCGACTTGACTTTTGTGCGAGATATCCTCCCAGTGTGCCGCATGGGCAGGTCTCTCGGCTACAGGCAGTAGGCAACTAGCTAATACCCTGCAATGAGAGTTTCTGCAATTGAATGTGGCACTATTACTGAAATACTTTGGATTTGCCATTTACAGGGTATATAGCATAGATAAGGGAACCCCAGTTACCCATTTGTAGGTAACATAGCTAAAATTCCAACTACAGCTTAAGCTTACAAATTTTTAATTATAGCACATCATGCCGCTGCGCTCATTTACAGGGTATGTCAACTCATTTTTATGCCTATTTATAAATAATTCTTAAATTCTAGCCTAGTACTAAACTTTACAGCTTTTCATTCCACACGCTTCACTCATTTACAGGGTATAGCGAATTTTTTGGTGCTGCATTTGCTTTGCTTATCAGTTGGCCATAATGCGTCAGCATTGCCAACTTAGCTTTTATCACAGTCCGTACACTCAGAGTTTCTTTTTTTATATTTTGCTCATTTTTGACATGCCTGGCATTAATCATACGCCCCGTAGACGACGCGACAAAGCGAATCTCCCGCAACGTTCCACGTAATCTGAGTCCCATTCTCATCAGCTGGCACAGCTGTCAGCTGGACATTTGTTTTCTTTGCCTCATATATGTTAAATATACATATATGCTTATATATATTTGGGGAAATCGCAGCTGGCGCTAGTCTAGTCATGAAAGTGCACTAATATTTATTTCCATACCCGTCAAAAATTCCTAGCGCAAATATTTGAACGGATGCTGGCATGTGTGCGAAAATTCTAGAATGAAGTAATTGGCCGGGCTAAGATATTGCGTAATTTTATTTACCAATACATATGTATTGCCAAAAACTGAGGGGAGACCCACAGAAGAATGGCGCTTCGAACATAATTAGCTTAGCTTGTTATTCATACATCCTTCAACCCTAAATCGCAATCAATTATCCCTAAGTCAAAATTATTAAATATGATATAACTATCTATTCAATCTTTTTAAATATATAAATATAGATGTATATTTAGCTTTCACTATTTACTGATTAAATAAAAACCCCCTTTCTATGAATACTTTAATTCATTTTTAAGAGCTTTGTTTTACCTTTTCGACAAGGTATTTAACATTGTCATATTTAGTTGTTATTGCTACTGTGCCACTACAACAACAACAGCAGCAGCAACTCATGAGAATCTTATTCTATTATTCACGCATTGATTATTTATACAAGTGTTTGCGGTTACTAGTTTTTTCATCAATACTTTTCAAAATTTTTCGATGTGAAAGAAAAATATGAAATTAATACATATATACATATGCATACATACATACATATATATGTTATCTGCGGAACCAACCGCAAGACGCCGAAGAAGAAGCAAAAGCATAAGTATAAGACAGGGCAATAACAGCAACTGCCCATAGACTGGGATGCCAATGCAGCGGCTGCCTGTGCAATATAAACGCTCATTAAAAGCATAAAAAAAAAAAAACAACAAAACAAAAAATACACACACACAAAAAATACCTCAGCTACTGTACGGCAATTGGTTGATTTTTTCGATTTTTGCAAGGCCTATGGCAGCGAGAGCGAGATAGCGCGAGCCGCGAGAGACAGTGGGAATGTGGCAAAGAGAGACTAAAGGAGAGCAAGAAAATGCGCATGAAAGCTGCAGCTGAGGTTTACAGCCTGCAGCCTGCAAACAGGTAAGCAAGAAATTGCCAAAACAACAACAACAGCAACAACACTGGCCCAGACATCCGCTGAGACAGCGCACGCGCGACGTTGACGTCGCTGTCGCTGTTGCGGCCAACGCGCTTTTGGGCCCATTGGGGGCTAACTCGCTGCTGCCTGCGTCGCAGTCAAGTCTCGTGCCGCATTGTTGTTGCTTCCGCTGCCGTTGTCGCTGCTGCTGCCGCTGCTCCCAAAGATTGCAATCACGTTGCGCAGCGCAGAATTTGTATCGGCGAGTGAGTTACTTGTACATCTGCGCCCCCGAGCCCGATTAGCGGTGGCTGCGTGACACAGGCGTACGCACGAAATAGCACGAAAGCACAGGAATGCAGAGTACGTAAAAATAATTTTTATATAAGTAAGGTGATATAAAACAAGTTTAACAACATCTGCTAGATGGTTCTTTGTTATCAGATATGCCAAATCGTATATCTATTTGGAATTCCATTAAATCCACACGAACATTACGCGCAGCTGTTAGGCATAGATAAATTCCAATGGAAAAAGTGTGTGACGCAGCCTGGCAGAAATACTCAATAAAATCCCACAGCTTTAATAGCAGAGAGAAAAGCCCCTGGAAGAAAAGGGAATAATTTTGCACGTCACACTCTCATCTCTATGCTTCTTCTTCGATTCTTTCATTTCATTGGAATTTATTTAGAACACATTTTAAAGCAGCATTGTTGTTATTATTGTTGAGCAGCAGCAGCAGCAACAACAGCATCAGCAAAAACACGCGGCATTCCAATGCCGAAAAAGGCAAATCCCCCAACGCAACTTCAGCAGTAGCCGTAGCAACAACAGCAATAACAGTCGAAATTCATTGCACTTTGGCGAACAACACAACTCCTCCTCTCTCCCCACCCACTGGAAACTACAAATACAACGGCGCCACTTTGCAGCTCCATTGAAACAGCATTCGATGTTGTTTTTGTTGCTGCTACTGGCATGCGGCTAGAGAAAAGTTTGGCTCGAATAAATTGAATTGAGCGAGATGCCGATGACTGGAATTGGAGTGAAAGTAGGGTAGGCAGATTAGACACCGACTGACTCGCAACCAGTGGACATAGCACACACACACAGTGACAGAGACACCACATTCCACAATCCACAAACGATTCGCCAAAAATTTAAGAATATTGTCAATTCGAGCTCCATTTTATATGCTTCCACTTCACTTACAATGTACAGCCAAAAAGGGGGCAATTATAAGACGTATTTCTTATTGGAGTAGTGGGAGTTCTTTTGGGCGAGCTTTCACTGTTGACTTTACAAACAAACATAAGCTCGTGGTCAGGGTAGATAACTTCCGAAGAATCAAATCATAAAGCAAATTATTTCCTGGAAACGTCGCTCATTCATGCAAAGAATTAGAAGTGTGTGCTGCTGAGGGGGGAAAGTTCAGATAAAATAGGGTGAGACATAAGCGATTTCTTATTCACATACATACATACAAATTAAAAAGCAGGAGCGACAACAACAAAAACTGCGAACACGAAGTAAGTTAGTGTAACAAAGGTAATAAAAATACTTTAAGCACTCAGAGAATGGGAAGAGGAGTGGTGCGGAGAGAGTGAAAGAGAGGAATGTCCATGTTCATTAACATTATCATTTAAGGTGCAGTCCAAATAGTGAGAGAGATGGATGGGGGTTCAGCATGACTGGTCAATAATATTCGGTCAAA